GAGCCTGCGTCGGACGGCACCGTGATCGGCACGGCCGTCAGTGGGAGCAGTGGCGGCGACGGAGATACGGTTCGCGCCGAGCCGAGCACGCCCGGACCGTCGCGGCCGCACACCAAGGACGGTCTGGGCTCTGCGTCGCCTTCTCTGGACCCGCCGCGCGCGCCAAGCCCGAGCATGGCGCCCGAGGAGAACGGCACGGTGGCATCGTTTGGCGTGTTTGACGACGACGAGAGCGAGTCCGGCACGTGGGCGCAGCCGCTCGATTCGGATGTCAACGCGCCGCGCCTGCCTCTGCGGCTGGATGGCGAGGAGGATGCGGCGTCCGACGACCACGGTACGCTGCTGCCCGGTCAGGGCGCGCTGCTGCAGTCGCCTGCGCGCGTCGGCGGATCAAGTCCCAAGCGGCCGGAGCTGCGTCTGACCATCGACCCAGCGGCTGGGCCGACGCTGTTGGCGCCCGCTTCGCAGCCGGCGGGGCTGTCGCCCGTGCCGAGCTCGTCGCATCTGTCGTCGTCGCTGAGCAGCGGCGGGATCACGCGCAGCAACTCGTTTGCGCGCCGAGACGACGACTGGGCGTTTCGACCGCCGCCCGAGCAGCTGTACGAGAATCTGGACGACTTCTTCCCCAAGCACGACCTGGACAAGCCGTTGCTCGACACGACGGCGGTGCCCGAGAGTCCGATGGTGAGCAGCCCGCGCAGCGAGGCGGCGGCGGCGGGCAGCATGGCATCGAGCCCGCCGACGGCGCCGCAGCAGGCGATGAGTCATCGCAGCCGGCTCAAGCGCTCGATCCGTCTGGTGGCGCAGGACCGCAAGCGGTTTTTGGACCGCGCGGGCAAGCGGGCCACCGAGAAGGACGCCGAGGCGAGCAGCGGATTGGTGCGTCGGCGCAGCACCAAGCTGTGGGGCACGCGTGTGGTGGAGATGACGCCCGGGCAGGAGCTGGCGACGCCGGCGTCGGCGACGTCGGCCGAGTCGCCGCTGTCCGACACGTCGCCGCCCAAGCCGGTGTTCAAGTGGGTCAAGGGCGATCTGATCGGCAAGGGCACGTACGGACGCGTGTATCTGGCGCTCAACGCGACGACGGGCGAGATGATCGCGGTCAAGCAGGTCGAGCTGCCGCGTACGGCGAGCGACCGCGAGGACTCGCGCCAGAAGGGCGTCGTCGCGGC